GCCCGGGATACTACATCATGGCAGTGGCCCCAGCATGAAGCCGCTGCTGCAATTGCGCACACCAAGCAGCTCACGAAAACACCAGTACATGCTTATAGTACATGCTTTGTAGGTGGTCGTCCACCAACCCTTTTTGTACTTAATTATGAAGATATGGAACAACCTGCCGCATCACATATTTGGTTAAAAAGCAGCAGCAAAATTCAAGGAATGCTAAGACAAACATTGCCGATCTAAAAATATATCGAGCGCACGGCCACCTAACTGGTTTGGTAACTGCGTACCGTTCAAGGCAGCTACACAGCAGTATCGCTTTTGGCTGCCTCCAACTATTAAGCAGTAGTCAGGTGTTGACTATGGGACAGTTAGACTGGGAAGATAGCCAAGAGGCCGGCACAGGTGCCATTGAAGCTGTGCGCCGTTGCGTGATCGGGTATCTTTTGTTTCGCGTCAACAAAGAGGTAAAATTGTCCAAGGAAGTCTATGTAGCTAATGGTAAACGGAACCGCAGCAATAAGGAACGCGCTACGAACTTTTCTGCGTGGACCTAAGTTACTGGTAAAGGCACTTTGCCGCAAGCGGGGATAAGTGTTTTGTTTGTTACACGAAGGCTGAGAGGGGATGAGTGCTTCACCGCCCTAGGTGCAGGAGAAACTATGCTCAGTTAGGCTTCCGTGTCAAGCTGGATCGGGGTTTCAGGTTTGAAGTCCTGCTCTTAAGGAATCTACAGTTGAAAAGGTAGTCGGTGACATATTTGGTGAGTGGGTTAAGACAGGGAAATTTCCCTGATTAAGCTGTAGCAAGGTGCGGGGGGTAGTATGCCTCTGCGCCTAAAGCCAAAGCGCCGGTGTTATCAACATAGTTTGTTGCCTGGTAAACGGCTGCAGCTGAACAACTTGTTCCTAGGTAATGATGGGTTAGCGACTGCTGCAAGCAATGTGCGCTAAATGTGTAATGCTCCTGGTTCACCGAGTAATACACTACGCTCAGTGGGCTTCGAGGTTGGGACTGCGTGCTACCTGTTTGAAATAGTTGGCTACCAGACGGTAGCGGGGACTTCTACCGGACCGAGACAAACACTTGGGCTAGGGCTTATTAGGATGGTGTGTGATACGTCACCTATCGTTGGCGGTGATCTACTTGGTAATTACGGATTTTCTCAAACCTTTTCAAGTCAAAATAAGCTTTATGTATCCAGATTAGTACCTTTTCAGCACTTTATAATATCGACCACGGATGAGCTAAAAGAACTTTGTCAGAACTGCAGTTTAATGCGTGGGAGAACGACTCTGTTTAGTTGCGTTACTTGTATAACCGGGCAGTGTGTAGAGCAACAAGTAAGCCGTTCCGGAGAGAAGAATCTGCAGCCAGCGTTGCAAGCTAGCTCTTCAACCGGGACCGCTCTCTTCACATATTCAGTGGATTGAATTCTTCTTGAAGATTACGCAAAGAACGGCGGTGATGAGCTTGGAAATAATTTGACAAACGGCAACGTTAAAAACTTGAGAGAAAGCTGATGTATCCATAGCGATATTGTAAAAACCACGTTCAGTGACAAGAGCGACGTACGCAACTAACTTATGCTGAATAGGACTAAAATATGCCGTGCGGATGGATACAGCAGCTATCGTCTGATGCTGCTGAGTAACTACTTGATGAAAACTAAATAACAAGTGATAAATGCTTGCATATAAATTGCGTGTGCATTGGGTCATGCATTTTCATTATAAATTGTGTTTACATTACTTTAGCACTTTACTTTACTTTACTTTAATTTACCTTTAACTTTTTACTTCTACTTACTTTTAGCTATGTATTTTTATATCCATTGATAACGTTAGCATCTAAACATGCTTATGCATATGGTCCTTATTTTCCTAAAAAGGTACCTTCAGTGCTCAAAGTTAAATCGTAGCTGAAGTCCTTAGCGGTCGAACGAATACTAGGGAAGTCTCAGACCCTTCGTAAGCGCAAACCTCAGAACGAGTCGACTCACAGGCTAATCATATTGGGGTTCGAATTGTGGGCTGCGCTATACCTGTGGCCCACGTCTAGCACAATAAAAATAAACCTACGAGAGTAACTGCGTTTCTAATATCCGATACCCAAATAGGCTGAACGACACCGTACCCACGGAGAAACAACCCAGATAAAAAGCAGCACTACCGAGGGCAGACCAAGAAGAAGTAGATTGTACTCGTTAATTCAAACAAACTGTACAAAGTGATCGTGATAAAATGCATGATAAGAAAGACAAGTGCGAAAGCTTGAGAACCAGTTCATGACTTTCCCCATAGAGCATGAATTAATAAGGTATGGTACGATGTAGCTACTTAGAAAACAAACTCAGCTAGTTTGGAGGGGAAAGAGGCAATCCGTCCTGAACGTGTGTGCTTGGGATCATTCGTTGCGCGTGCGCATGCAGTTTCCGGAGTATTTGAATCAGTTGGCTCGCGAACGGGAGGTAACAGTTTGGGATCAGTCAAAAGTAGGATAGACTCAACGTAAGCGAGCTTAAGACGGCAATACTCGGAGCTTTCTTCGATCCATTCCTATCCCGGATAACTTATTCAGGCTTCAGTGACAGCACATTGAAGTGACCAACATAAGCGAGTGTCACTGGCTTGCGAACCGCATCAATGCAATTGAAAACCAAAGCTCAAATGGGTAAGTCAAGGTGAATTCGTTGTTCGCGGGCAGTGAATCGAATAGGCGCGGGTCGACTTGTTCGGAAGTGTTGCTTAAGACGTTCGGTGTAGGACACAGGATTTATTTCACGAATGCCCCGGAAATCCAAAATCGTCATACCTGGAAGCCTGCGAATGGTGCTGGCGACGAGTGCGGCAGGGCTGCTTCCAATAGCCTCTTTCACGGTAATGCGCATACTAAGAAGGACAGTTGGAATGCTTTCAGACTAATATGGGTCAGGTGCATTAGCTGTGATGGCTGCTTTAAGTTGTCTATGGTAATGCTCGACAAGACCATTCGAGGCGTGATGCCAAGCTGGTGTCCGAACATTGGTGCAACCAACCAAACGAATCAAGTCCCGGAAGAAGGTGAAACTAAACTGCCACGCTTGACCTGCAGTGATCGTAGATGGTACATCAACTTAGGAAATCCAAGGGTCAAAAAATACACTTGCAACAGTTTCTTAAGTTGTGTCCCGTAGAGGCATAGCTTACGGCCATCGAGTAAACTGGTCAACAAATTCCGAATGAAAGTGAAATTGTTCGACTGTGGAGGAGCTCCAAGTAGGTCTAGGTTACCATGTCTAAAACGCGCCTCAGGTAGTGAGAATATTTCCGTGGTAGCGATAGAGTGTCTGTGCATTTTGATGCGCAGTCGGCCGAAACGTTGCTTAGCCCGTTGACGGATATCGGACCGTTTACTGGGCCAGATATTAAGATCTGTGATGTACTCTACAGTGGATCAAGCGCTAA